TACAAGCAGAGGGTCCAGGATTGTCTGAAATCTTAAGGTGTCGAAAACAACTCAGGTGTCCATTAATTGAGGGCTGGTTCAACCACTTAAAGTTCGCGCACACTGTGAAATGTTATCCCGCAGTAAAAGCAACGAGGGAACTCTCGTGTATTGACGTGGAAAAGCTTCAAGTCTCAGTGCTAAGCAGAAAGCAGAAACGGACGGATGATAGAGAGATGACAGTCAGATGGACAGTTGATTCCGGAACCACACAGGTTTGAACTGCACTGGTCTGCTTATATGTGGATTTTTTTCAATAAAAGGTACACCGATGTTACGTGAAGTCAGCCAGGCACAGAAAGACAAATGTCGCACGTTCTCGCTCATATGTGGGAGCAAAAAGAATGGATATCATGGAGGTAGAAAGTAGAATGAGAATTGCCGGAGGTGGGGAAGGGAGCTGAGGGAGGAGAGTTCGTGGGTGCGAACGTACAGGTAGACAGAAGCAATACGATCTAATGTCTGATAGCAGAGGAGGGTGACTATGGTTAGCCATATATTTTATATTGCAAAATAACTAGAAGGAAGGACTTAAATGTTCCTGTCACAGAGAAATGATAAACACACAGGTGAAGGATGCCCTGAACACCCTCACTTGATCCTCACGCGGATGCCTGAGAGAAGGAAAGCAGGCAGGTGAGCCCCCCACCGTGGCCCCAACTTGCTGCCTGGATGCCGTTCCTAGGCGGCAACGCAGGGAGTGAGAACACAGGTGGAGCCCAGCAGGCTCTCCAGGTTAAGAAAACAAAAATCAGAATTTTGAAGGCCGTCGTGTCTATAATTTGTAGGGCACGGTCCCAAAGAGAGGGGAGCGGCGCAAACAGAAGGACAGAGAGAGAGTTCCAGAGACGCACATGGGTGTCCTCAAGTCTTTGGCTGACTACTCTGCATGACTGGAAAAAACAAACAAACAAACCAATGACAAGATGCCAGGGAAAGAATGCCAGGAGGCTGTCGGCAGAACACCTGCTGGGGCTCACGCCGCGCTGGCCAGAGCGAAAGCACCACGGCATGCACAAGGCATCAGGCAGAGTCCTCGTCAGGGTGTCGCCTCTGGAGTGGGAATCCATTAGTCTAGATTCGAGGCAGCTCTTGATCCCACCTAACAAAGCTTGAAGGCAAGTCTTGAAAGGATAAAACGAATCCCAGGCAACTGAACACGTCGGAGCCACAGCCCTGCCACAGAGAACAGCTTGAGGCCGGTGTGCAACGTGGAGAAGTCACAGTGCCCAGGTCCACCACAGATACCACGCGCGTGGCCAAGCAGGAAAACAGGGATCGTAAGCCAGAGAAAACCAATCAACAGACGTGCGATGACAGAACAAGCAAAGACCCCGAAACAACAAAAATAAAAAGAAATGAGGGTAACAATCAGAAGGTTACCAAGCTGTAATTATTTGTTGACATTATGACTATACCAAAAAAAAATCAACAGCATCAAAAAATAAATCTTCAGAACCATCCTAATAGGTAGGTGCTTCTGTTAGCCACACTTGAAAGACAAGTGCACTAAGGCACAGAGAGGTTAAGTAACTTCTCAAGGCCACACAGAGAGAAAGTGGCAGAGCTCGGACTCCAGCCTGGAAAGACTTATAAAAATGAGTTATGTTTCTTTATACCAGTATTGAATAATATCAAAAATATAATTGAAAATAGATTATCATTCACAATTGCAATCAACCTATGACGTGCCTAGGAATCAGCACACAGAACACACACACCTCTGCACAGGGTCCCCACAGCACTCACCTCCCAGGCTGGGAGCGAAAGGGAAGGCTCCCGGGAGGGCACGCGGGGATGACAGGGAAATGGGACTGTCCCAAGCAAACCGAGGTGCATGGTCGCCCTACTCAGGAAAACAAACCTTAAAATTTCATTAAAGATGTTGAAAAAAGCTCCAAATAAAATAGGAAACATTCCATCTTTTGGGATGGGATGACAACTGCCAAATTAATGTGTAAGTTTAATGCAGTCACAGTAAGATTTGTTCAGAGACTTGATTAACTTATTCTAACACGTCCATGTCCTCCAAAGGTTCCTGTGGGACAGCCGCCTGTGGCCAGAGCTGACACCTCCCTCCACTAACCTGCCCGCGGTAGAGAGGGCGTGGGCAGCCAGCAGCTCACGTCTGTCTGTCCATCTGGCTCTTTTCCTCCCTGTGTCAGTCATACTCACAGTCCTCCCTGTGTCAGCTCTTTGTGAACTAGTCACACCGCCACCACTCGAGACGGAGCTACAGAGCAGTCAGGTGGATTTGCCACCTCGACGCAGGATGCAAACTTCTCAGTGCTTGACGGACAAACTGACTGCTCAGCTAGACCGTGAACATCTCGAGAGCGGGAACCTAGCACAGTGCCTGGCCGGGGAAGACACTGCACAGAACATTCCTTAAAGGAGGAAGTGGAAGGAGAACAAGGGAAAGGGGAAGGCTGAGAAGGGCAAGGAAAAGAAAAAAGGGAGAAAGGGGAGGGGGCAGGGAGCAGGGGGGAGAGCCCAAAAGAGGCGGCCTGGGAGGTGAAGCCTCGAGGTAACAGCCCCACAGTCATGGCCCAGGGTGTGAATGGAGGCAGAACACCAGCTCTCTCGCTCGCTGATGCCGTGGCCTCCGACAGCTCTCCCGCCCCTCTGGACCTCTTTAAGCGTCCAGACAAGGTACGCATCCACCTGGGGTTGCGGGATGAAGTGGACATATGCAGCAGATTCTAGTAAAGAAATGGGTCCCCCAGCAGGTGCTCCTGGCAGGCTCTGCAGCCACCAAGCTCCCTTGGGGACACCACACTGCCTGCTGGGCTGGGCCCTGCAGTGGGCCTTGGCGCAGCTGCCAGCAAGATCTAGCTTCCCCTTTATAGCTGCATCCACTTACCACTTTGGGGAACCTCCTGCTCTTGAAACATGATTGTAATGGTTTTTTGTTTGTTTATCTGTTTTAAAGACAAGGTCTTGCTCTGTTGCCCAGGTGTGCAGTAGTGTGATCATAGCTCACTGAAGTCTCAAACTCCCAGGCTCCATCAATCCTCCTGCCTCAGCCTCCTGAGTAGCTGGGACTACAGGCATGCGCCACCACGCCTGGCTAATTTTTTTTTTTTTTAGAGACAGGGTCTTGCTATGTTGTCCAGGTGGTCTCAAACTCCTGATCTCAACTGCTCCTCCTGCTTTGGGCTCCCAAAGTGCGGGGGTTATAGGCATGAGCCACTGTGCCCAGCCTGTAATGGTTAACTTTATGTGCCAACTTGACTGGGTTAAGGAATGTCCAGATAGAAGATGGCAGAACATTATTTCTGGGTATGTCTGTGAGGGTGTTTCTGGAAGAGATCAGCATTTGAATCAGCAGACTGAGTAAAGCAGGTCACCCTCACCTACGTGGGCACTACCCAATCCCTGAGGGCCCAAGTGGAACCAATAGGCAGAGGAAGTGAACTCCCTCCCTTTCCCTGAGCTGGAACATCTGCTGGCTCCTGCCTGCGGATGCTGGTGCTCCTGGTCCTCTGGCCTTCTCTTCCCTGCTCCTCACACCAGTGGCCCCTCCGGTTATCAGGCCTCTGGCCTCAGATTGGGGGTTATACCATCAGCTCCCCCAGTTCTCAGGCCTTCAGACTCAGACTGAATTATACCACCTGCTTTTGGGGTTCTCCAGCTTGCAGGTGGCAGACCGGGATGTCTCAGCCTCCATAACTGCAGGAACCAATTCCCATGATAAATCTCCTATCTTTCTGTCTGTTTGTCTGTCTGTCTGTCTATCTACCTTGTGTGTTCTGTTTCTCTGAAGAACCCTGATTAACAGAATGATCAAGCCACTCTCAGGGGTAGGCATTCACAGAGAAAGGGCTGCCATTTCCCTCTGCAATTGCCCTGCCAATATAAAAGCTGAGCGAGCGCACAGAGTGCCGAAAGATGCCATTGATCAATCTCAGGAGGCGCATCAAAGCTGTTGACTCCAGAGTGCCTATTCTCTTGGCACTTGCCAGAATGAAATAAATGGCTGATTGTGAAGGTGGACTGTCACTAAAAGGTCACAGATGACAAATGCCTCTCATCTGCCTTTCCCTGTGAGTCCTCGATCATGACGTAGCAGGGAGCTGCTCTATCACCGGGAGAAGACTAGCACTGCAGCCCACTCCCAGGCTGGAAAGCACCTTCCTACCTGTTTGCCCCTCCACTGTGCCAGGCCTTGTAGCTAGTGTGCCACTTGTAACCAGTGGGTCATTACTGTCACAGTCCTCATTTCACAGACGTGGGACCAAGGCACGCTCACCCCAGATTGTGCAGTTATGGGAAATAACCACACTGGTTCGGTGAGAACATTCCCTGACAACCCCAATCAGGGCATGTGGTCAGGAAGCTGCATGACAGTGATGAGGAACAGAGAGAGCTGTAGGCTCACATGCTGGATCTGCCCCTGCCTGGCTACAGGAACCCCGGCAAACTCACTCGCCTCTCTGAGACTCAGTTTCCACATCTGCAAGAGGGACACTGATTGTTCCTACTTCTTGAGGAAGTTGGGAGGGTTAAAGCCCACACTGAATAAGACCCAGGCCAGTCAGGTGGCAAGAACGCGGTTTCTGAAGACCAGTCGTGACCCTGAGGTTCCCTGACCTCCCTGTGCCTTAAATTCCTTCTCTCTAACAGAGCGACGATAGTGAGTCTTCTCTTATGGGCTGTGCAAGGGACAGACGGAAAGCACTTAGCTCTCAATAAACCGCACTAGCATATATGTGGACGTATGTATAGGTATTGACATACATAGCCCACATATGGATGGCTCATATATATACACACACACACATATATATACCTACAGAATATGCACATATGTGTACATACACA